CGCAAACCACAGAACAAGGTGTCATGTTGCCCCATGACAGCCAAATACAAATGGCCGCTGCTTCAGGTGAGCTGGTGGTGGTGGAGAACGTGGCAGCAGCCTGAAGGGCTTGTTGTGTCCTTCCCTGCTTCCCTGTCCCCTCCTTCCTTTTGAATTAAGGGTGCTGCTGCCACTGGCCCTGCCAGGCAGCCTCCAGTCCCTACTCGTCCCTCTACTTTTAGGCCTTTCAGGCTCTTCTCTCCCACCCTCTTCTTCCTGCCTGCATGTCTAGGCCCCACATGTTCTCCCTGTTCTATCCCTTAGCCCCAGGCTAACTGTTTCCCATTCCTAGAGGGTCTCCTCCAGGGCCCCAAGAACCCAGCTCCAGCCCCTGCCTCTCCCCCCTCCTGCCCACGCGGGCAACTGGCACTGCCCTCACTTCCTCACAGGGACTGGCTTCCGGGGAGTGGGGAGCTGTCTTTGGAGGGAAGGGCTATGCCTTTGATTCTCTTCCATCTCCCCTCATGCACGGAGTCCAGGGAGCTGAGGGGACACCACCCCGCCTGTCCCCCGGAGCTCCCTCCCTTCCTGCTTTCCTCCGCATGCCCCTGCAGTGCAGGCTGCTGGGAGCACAGGACTGGGGGCCTCGCTCCAGACCCCTTCTTGCCCTGGGCTGTCCCAAGACCCAGACCACATGTAGAAAATGGTCAGCTTCTGATGAGCTCAGAAAACATTTTGCCAACATTCAGTTCTGCAGGTAAGAGAATTAAACTTCTCTTTCTAAAAATAAGCTGTAGAGTCTTCTGAGTGAGGCCCAAACAGGCAGGAAAGTCCAAATATGACTGCAAGAGCTTGGGCTCTGTTACTGTCCCTTTTGGTGCCAGCCCTGCATGGGCATTCCTGCCCTCTGCTCCCAGGCCAGCTCTGCCCACAGATGGTCTGGGACTTGGGGCTTCTCACCTTGGGTAGTTAAGGCAGCAAACCCCCTGCAACTATGTTCTGTTTGGGGTGGAGGATGTTCAAATAAAAATACCTGGTTGAATTTCTCTGAACCATACCCTTGAGTACCGGTGTTTCAAACCCAGTATAGAGCTGTGGTCTGAGAAAAAAAGAACTCGAACCAGGATTTTGGAGACACCAGGTAGGAATAAGGTAAAGCAAGTCTCTCCGTGACCTACATGTTAAAGAGCAAACTCCTTAGCATGGTGCTCACTTAGTGTCCTCAGGATGTCTCCTCCCCCGACAAACACATGTGGACCCGCCCTCCTCTCCTGCAGACCCCACCGGTCCCCTTTCTGTCCCTAATTGCCCAGGAACCCCTCTAGCACGTCCTAGGCTCTGCCACGTGCACTCATGGTTCCCTCTGCTCTGAGGTCCTTCTCCCTACCTCTGCTTTCTTAATTTCTATTCCTCTGGCCCAGCTTAGACTGAGGTTCTCCATAGGTCGTTGGTTAAAAACATGAGCTTTGGAAATAAACTAGAGTTTGAGTCTCTGCCACTCACTAGCAGGGCAAACTCACCTAAGCACAGCGGTAGGGAGACCCCAGCTCTGCTAGCTGTGTGGCCTTGGGCAAGTTACCTAACCTCTCTGAGTCTCAGCCCTGTCATCTCCAAAATGGGAATAATAAGAGCACCTAGGCATCGTGCTGCATACAGCTGTCATGAGTATTAACTGGGGGTGGTAGAGGTGAGTGCCTGGCACGTGGCAGGCATGCAGTAAGTGTTAGCTATCTGGAGATGATACATCTGCTCCCCCACGCTAACTGGCAGCAGCCCCTCCTGTGACAGTGTCCCACTGGACAACTCTGTGGCTCAGCTCGCATCTTCTTTCCTTGCCCTGAACTTTTTAGCTTGGGACTGGAGGTGCTGACCTTTGTTAGAACGTCTCCACACTTTTGAGTTCTCCCAGGACAGAATATCTCTTCCCTTCTCCCCGCAGAGTGACTCATCTGGTAACTGAATTCGAAGTGGCCTGGCTTGACACCAGCCCCTCGTGCTGTGTCCAGGCCACCCTCCTCTTCCTGCCACACTGAGTTGCTGCTTCTTCCCCTAAGCAACCGCCTCTTCATAAACCCAGGCCTTTCTGCGTGCACTTCCCACTGCCTGGAAGGCTGCCCCACCCCCTTCTCTGCTGGGGAAGCTCCTATTCAGGAGTCAGGCCAAATGTCCTTTCCCAACTTCAGGGCTCTTCCCCCTTCTCTCACAGCCCGGGGTCCAGTGTTTGCTCTCCCTGGACTGTGACCTTCCCCAGGAGGTAGGCTGGGTCCCTAGTGTCCTGCACACAGCAGTGTTGGGACACTCACAAGGTAAGGTCCTAGGTGGTAGGCCAGTCTGAATTAGCTGCATGCATAGAGGACCTGAAATCCTACAGGCTGCTTCCAGCCTGCCACTTCCTGCCTTGCTGAGTCTTGGTCTGCCCCTCTGCCAAGTGACCATCACACCTTCCCCATGGCTGTCAAGGGCTGAGTGAGCTCTGTCCAGCAGCACTGAGCTGATCCCCAGGAGGCGCAGTCAACGCTAGCTCCCCTCACCCCTTCCTGGTCTGTGCCTCAGGCTTCCTGCTTCCTTTGAGTGGTGGTCAGTCCCAACACAGTTTTTGTTCTTAAATCAAACATATAAAAACCTTCCTTATCAATTGGCTTAGAGATCCTGTCACTATTTTAAGAGTGAAAAAAAAAAAAAAACCCAACCCCCAACCAACCTCTTATTAGTTGGATACACCAGTGACACTGTTGGTTGTTATGGTGACTCTGACACCCCTCCCCCTTGCAGATTAGAAACACCTCCCACTTCTCTAAGTCTGGCTGCCCCCAAACAAGGACTTCTCCCCAAGCAATCCTCACTCCCAAACAGGAAGGAGGGGCTGGAAATCTCTGGAGGCTGCGTTTTTGGCCTTTCAGAAGTGAACCTAACCTTCCAGTGTCAGGCCCCGTGTTAAGTCTGGAGATGATTATACTCATATATGCACTTCTCTATGCAACTGTGCAGTTATCCAATTTAGGTGACATGCATGGTCAAAAAGTCCCTGGGCTACTTGTCCAGGAAGCCTGCTTCTTTCAGAGGAAAACAGTTGCATGTTTCTACACTATTTTTTCTTTGAATTTCATCTAGGGTCAGCGAAGCTGTATGGAACTCAGTGGCACTCTGTGGCTTTGCCTGTCACGCCCTCACACACTCTTGCACACACCTAGTAACTATAGAGCTGCTACTGCAGGTGGAATTCCTTGTGATAAAGACACAGTCTCCCTCTCTTTTCCACCTGCCTCCCATTCCCATGAGACTTTCACACAGGTTCGTTCCTTTCAAAGTTTATTTCTGGTGAATAAAAACATTTGTGATTAAACTATGTGATTAGACATTATGACATAGGGCACAGGTTAACTTTCCTGTTTTCTTCTGGATCTTGCAGGTTGGTGAGAGATGGCTGGGTGAACCCAGCCTCCCATTTGTGGGAAATGGAGATGCCAATGGAGTGACTCACAGGCTGATGCTTCTTGGAGGGCTGGCAGGTGGGGTCAGAGGAAGGCCGAATCCAAATCTCTTTTATAGAAAAGAAATAGCTCTTCTTTGTAGTGTTTTTTAAACAATCAATAGAAGCTCTGTCACTTGCTCATAATTGTGACATACCAAGCACAAGCTCAGAAGGGTGGAGCAGGAGGCTCAGGAAATTCTAAATGTGGTACTTAGGGACCCCTTTGGGAAAGACACCCTCCCCAGCAGAAGTCACCTGAGGCCAGCACTTGGAGGAGTCGGTGGAGAAGTGGGACATGAGCCACTAGCACAGTCGTCAAGATCTTTTGCTTTCTGAATTCTGGGGACTACTGCCTCTTAGCCTGAACTGGACATTTTCTCTGAACTTCTTGGGTTCTGATAAGGCTCTCAGAAGTGGCCATCCCCTTGGTCAACAGAGAGTACGTTTCCTCTAGGAATCTGCGAGTGGAACATGCTGATGGTCTGTACTGGGGTCTTAAGGCCAGGGTCCTAGAGAACATGCCAGAGCCCAGAACTTCAGAGCTCAGAGAAAGACTTTGGGGCCCTCTGCCAAGAAGAAAGCTGAGGCTTCTCAGCGAGGCCTGCAAGGTCCCTGGAGCAGAGAGCACATCCTATTCACCACTTTCACCCTGTGCCCGGTTCTTTCATGGGGTTCTGGCCTTGGGATCACTTTGTAGGTGGAGTTCACTCTTTTAGGGAATACTGAACTTTGGTTATAATTTTTTTTTTATACACTAGAAGTAGGTTTTAGTTGTCTGCAAACTCATTGACTGATACAAGCACGTGCCAGCAAGGCTACAAGTGGCTCATCCCTTAAGGCCTGGGCACAGACTGCACGCTGGATGGCCTCTGTCACCGACCTGGAGGACTGACCAGGACTCAAGGCGCCTGCTTGCACTGAACACCAGGGTCACCTCTGACTGCACATTGGCAAAGTTTAAACAAGGCTGTTTAACCACACATGGCTTTAGCATCCCCATCCAAAGACTTTTGAAAGGGAGAACCAAGCAAAATCCAAACTCCCAAATCATCGGGCAGTTCTGAAGTCCAGTTCAGGTTCCTTTTTGACCACCATAAACAGCAATTTCTAGGCACAAAGATCAGCCCAAGGACTCAAAGTCCAATGTGAGTTCCCCTCATGGGCAGAGGGGTTGGAGGGGCACACACACACCTGCCCCTGCTTCACACAGAGACAGGCATTTCTACTCTCCGGGCCTGGGACAATTTTCACCCCCAAACCACCCTCTTGTCAGATGCTCTGAGGCCACACCCCAAAATGCAACTCACACCTGCATTATTTCCCTTTGAAGAACCAGAAGTCCCCTCTTAATGCCACCTAGGGACACCTGCAGTGGCGCCTATTAAATAATGTCCAGACAGATCATAGCCTTTCAACCATTTTATGAAATGAGAAAAGACCAAGCTGGCCATGAGGCCATTCATATACACGAAGGCAGGGTGGATGGGGAAGGGATGGATGAAAAACCAGGACCACATGAGGTCATAACTGGGAACCAACTTCCAAAAAGCTCCTAGCAGCAAAAAACTCCAGACAGGAGGGTACTGATGGAAGTCTACAAAAATAAGCTTTGTTCCATGCCTGTTCTTTAAGGTTGTAAAGGACAGGCCTTTCCATTTGGCTGGTCTCCGGAGGTTTTTCCGGTATCAGATGCAGGAGAGGTTTTAAATGACTGAGGCAGCGATGGGGAACTCACTGCCTGCCCCTGCCTCGCTCCTGGGATACTGGAACGTGTCAGGGGACAGATGGGAGGGAAGAGGGACAGCTGCCCTGGGCATAGCCTAGAAGAAAAGAGGGTGGGGTGGTGAGGCCACAGAGGTGCTCCCCAGAGTCCTTCCACACGGGGCCATTAACACATCTTGATTCTGAGCCTTTGCGGTCTCTTAGGAGGCTCAGAAAGCACCCTGTGGCCCTCCTCGGCATGTCCAGCCTGGGGCAGGTATGAAGAGTCTTACTAGCTGCACTCCACGGGGCGAGCCAAGGATTCATGAGCTTTCCCCTGCGCGGCCGGCGCTCTGCCAGCCCCTGCTCTTCAGAGTTGGTGCCTACATCTCCTCACTGCCCACACTCTCCCTCCACTTGCTTTCCATTTACACTGTATTTCCTCCAACTTTCTGCTTGTCTGGGAAAACATTCTAATATGTGCAGCACTTACATGTATCTGATAAATATGGGAAGCTGTCAAAAGCTTAATTATATTTTAAAACCATGACAGGCTGGGGTTTGCTAAAGCAGGATCATCAGGCAAGGTCTGAAGGTGACATCTTTTGATGACTAAAGCACCAACTTTTCCCCGTGGGTGGCATTTTGAAACTGCACAGTGGATGAAATCTGAGATGATACCACACCACTAGAGAGGTGGAGGGGGACCGCCCCCAACAGTGAGCAGTTCTGAAAACCATGCCCCTCCATTAACTCTTATCTTCCCCCCTGAATTCTTCCAAAGACACTTGCTAATTGGCATTAGGATCTATCCCACAAGCCATTCATCCTTCATGTACTGTCTTGGGTAAAGGCTCAGATTAAAGGTAAATTCAAGGTCTTAAAATGCCCTTCCCAGGAGAGGGCTCTGAAAAGAGAAGAGGAAAGGAATGAGCGGGAAAAATATGAAATTCGGGAAGTGTGGCATCCAGAAGATGGACTCTAAAAAATATGTCTTCATATGTCTTCACTTACATGATAATAAGCAAAACCAATCAAAGGTTCACACCGATTTTAGGATGCATCTAGACCTTAGGAATATTAAGACATAGAAAAAATGGGATGGAGAACAGGTGACATATTTTTAAACAGATGGCCTTCTGATCCTGAATTCTGACCATTTTGAGAGCAGGGAAACTGTTGTGGGACCTGGAAGATGGAGCCACCGAGGAATTGCTTTATTCCAGCTGAATCCCCACCCTGAACGCTCACGAGGCGGGACCGCAATGACTGTCACCCAGAGGTTGTGGGTCAGGGTGGATGAATCTGTATGAACTGAAACAGCTTCTGCACAGTAAGGAGCCCACATATTTTATTACACCCCCTGCTCACCAAGCTCTTTCAGCCCCCCACCACTCTGCCCCTTGGGTTATGGAGGAAAAAAAAAAATAGCTGTTCAATTTTCTGGGTCACAGAGTACAAGATGGGTCTAGATTGTACAAGGAGCTTACACACTGAGGCAAGAAAGCGTGCAAACACAAGCAGGAATTCTGCACCCGCTGGGTGAGTCAGTGCTTGAGACATGGGAGGAGGACCTGAGTCACCCTCCCGGAGTCCACACGGGTTTGTATTTCTGGCTTTTATTAACCGTGTCCAACTCCAACTTCCATCTTCTCCTGCGAGGGAGAAGAATACCTATGAAGATCTATGACATCAATGACTGCCCCCGAGCCATTATTTTTTTCCTGTTATGGTTTTACAAAGAGGCCCAGGAGCAGGCCTAGAGAAGGACCAACAAAAGCAAAAGTGTTTGAGAACGACATAATACTGACTTCTCTTTTTTGGTAACAGTCCACAAAAAGTGCGCCCCTCTCTCCTGAGATACAGCGAGGCATGAGGGGAGGTGGTGGAGGAGCAGTGGGTGGGACACTGTACCGTGTGACATCACGATCATGCAGCTGGTGCCGACAGGACAGAGAAGTGAGAACGAGCCATCGAGCACCCGGGGCTCTGGGCTCGCCCCAGGGGGAGGCAGGCAGTTTCCAGGTAAGTGCCCCACCTCTCGGGAACACTGTCTGTCCAGTTCTTGAACGACCATCCCCTGGGGCTCGCCATCGCGGCTCTGGCTTTAGCCCTCGTCCTCCCTCAGCTCGGTGGGTAGGAATTTATACTGCTGCTGGCGGATCTGGGCCAGCTTTTTCCTTGCTTCTTCCAGTTCTCGCTCTTTCTTTAGCATTTCCTCCTGGGCAGCGATGATCTAGAAGAAAAGCAATAAGCCGAATGTATCTAACCCTTTCTTAGAAATTGTTGTCCCCCACGATGGCTTGCCTCCTGAGCTCCCATGGCCCCTGCTACAGTGGGACACAGCAGGATACGGGGAACAGTGCTCTTAGCTCATGGACAAGCCTCTATGCTATGGTTTAGGTTTTGAGACCAAAGACCCAGCTGACCAAAGAAAACAAGCTGACTTCTGGCCACTGATTTAAGAGCAAATATCTACTGCATTCCTACTATGCACCAGGCTCTGGTGTAAGGGCCTTACATGGATTGTCCCATCATCTTTGTGACAACCCTGGGAAATACATCCCACTGAAAGTCCTATTTTTCCAATAAGGAGCCTGAAGTTGAGAGATGTGGGTTCATTTCCCTGGAGTCACCCAGCTAGTGGAGGAGGACCTGGCCCAGTTATGCTTAAAGCTAAAGCTGGTGCCCTTAACCCCTAGATGGTTTTCATATGTTTATTTTATGCTTCTAAGGTATGATCTGAGAAATACTAGTTAATAGGTATCGTGTGAAAAGGGTAAGTCTGTGTTCAAGAAAGCCAGTCAGGTTTATTTGCTGTGGGCCTTTTCAGAGCCTTTAGCAGGCTTAATGAATGTTGTTACCAGAGTAGAGGTATTGAGTGCAGCATTTTCCAGACTTATTTGATCAGAGACTCTCCTTTGTGAAATTTCCATGGAATTAGTGAATTAAGAAATGCACTCTGGTAAAAATGCATCGAGTACATATGCAAACACAGGGAGTGGGTCAGAAAGAGCTAAGGCAGGCACAGGGAATGAGTAACTTCAGTAATGGGGCCTCGGTGTTCTTGGCTGGTAAGAAAACCACTCTTGAATAATGGATTTATGTTAACACACATCAAAAACTGCAAGCCTGACTTCCTGGAGTTTCCTTCTCACTCCCATTGCATGAGAATATAATCCTGCGTAAGTCGGAATCTCACCTCCTCTTATAAAAGTTCTGGGAGAGGGTAAACACTCATTCTTGCTGTAGGCCAGATGTCTGGAGTGGGCTGCAGCTCCAAATGCATCATTTTATTTAAATGATAATATTGCTGTCCTCCAGTTTCTGGGCTTCCCTTTTCTATAATAGAATCCTGATTTTTAGCTAGGCACATGGCTACACAGATATGAATACTACATTTCCCAGCCTCCTTTGCAGCTAGGCTGGCCANCACATGGCTACACAGATATGAATACTACATTTCCCAGCCTCCTTTGCAGCTAGGCTGGCCACGTGACTAAGTGCTGACCAATGGTATGTGAGAGGAAGTGATATATGCAACTTCAGGGCCACACCCTCCCTTCTTTCCTCTTCCTGCTAGATGGAAAGCCGAGGTGGTAATTGAGCCGTCACAGACCAAGTGTCCAATGACAGCATCTCAGGGATGGTGGAACAGGCATTGGGAATCTGGGTCTCAGACATGATGGAATCACCATGCCATCCCTAGAGTGATTACACCCAGACTGTTAAAGGAGGGAGAAATAAACTTCCACTTCGTTTAAGTCACTGTTATTCTGTGTCTCTGTTACAGCATGACACTCATCTTGGGAATAAGCACTGTTCTGGATTTAATCACAAACCTGAGCAATGCCCCCCACAAACTTTGTTTTCACTACGACATCGTCATCATCAGCTTTGCCAAAAGCTGCCTTCTGGGCTGCACGAACAAGATTGTCTGAAGCTCTTTTCACAGCATTTCCTGCTGCCTGGAGAGTGAACAAAACACACATTATATCATTAGAAATAACCATTTTGGTCTGGCAAGAACAGACATGAAGGCACAGTTCATGAGACTGTGAGTCAGTTTATCATTCAATTATCACACAGATGTTCTCCCTAGCCAGTGAGTATCCACATGTCCATCTATCCATCAATTCCACCAACACTGGCCACTATCTAATCACAGGCGAATGAGACACAGTTCCTATCACCCAAGAAACCCACACTTCTCAGGAGAATTACAATTGTTTAAATAAGTCGTTGTAGCAATGTGACACGTGTGTTAGCAGAAGCATACTCAGGGGCTGCTTCCTTGGCCTACAAAACTATCTCCTGCTGCCTCCATCCAATTTACCACATACCTGAGAACTTGGTTCAGACATCACTTTTTCCTGTCCTGGCCCTACATACATCCTCCCCCTCAGTGCTCTCAGAGTGCTCTGTGTTGTCTTTTCTGCAGCCGTCACCACACTCGTGGTTGCCTGTCTCCCTCCTGGGCAGTGAGCAGCTGGAGGGCAGGAGCAGTGACTTGAATCTTTGCCTCCCCAGCATCTGGCAACTGGCTGCCCACACCTGGCACTCACAGAAGGCTTTTTGAGGGAATAAAATAAGAAATCACAAGCGAGGGCGCATATACCCCTGCACGACAGGGCTGGAAGCCTCATAGTAAGGAAGTCCTTTACATATATACTTTTAGGGTCACAGCTGGGCTTTACACTGTGGGCTCAAGGACATGGCAATTACTAGAGACAGGTAAAGAAAAGCTTTTCAATGTGAAGTCTACATCTTCATTAAAGGTGACCACCCATTCTGGCTTACTGTTAATGCTCACTAAGCATGGCCCCAGGGACTTGTTCTCTGCCAGCTGAGGTTTGGGATTTTCTCCTGATGGTGGTCAAGGCTTTGTTAAACCTTGTGCATTCCTTACCCAGCCCCCTACCCCAGAGTCAAGGGCTTGTGCTTGAGGGTTAGCTATCAGAAAGTTGAAAGTTCTTCTCAAAGTTAACCGGCTCATCCGGGTGATGATCTAAAGGGAACAATGGGACTACAAGAGCTTGCACAAGGGAAGGGGAAGCCCGTTAATATTTGGCAAGCAGTCATATGAGCTTATTCTCCAAAGGTCTTTATGAGGTCAGAAATCATTAGTCCACCTTTCTGATATGGAAACTGAGGTTCAGGAACTTATCTAAGATCCTGTAGCTAGTAAGTTGTAGAGCTGGGATCCAAACATGGGTATGTCTAGCCTCAGAGAATCCCTGAGTCATTAGTAAGGGACTCAGACATGACATTGCAGTGACCAATTAAATTAGCAATGATGATTACAAGAGTGACACTCTGTTATATCTGGGTAATTCCTTAGAACGTAAAAAAGCACTTTCATATGTGTTATCCTGTTTGAGCCTCAAAAGAGTCAGTGTGGCTATCTCTATCCCCATTTTACAGATGAAGCAACTAAGGTCGGTGAAGTTTTGAGTAATTTGTGTAAGATCATGCACCTAATACATGGCAGATGCAGGACTTGAACCCAGGTCTCCCTTAACTCAGGATATTTTCCTTACAAGGGTCCCCTGAACCCAGGAATCACACACTCACAAATGTGCAGCTCCTTAATTTCCCCTCGGGTTTATCCCAGGGGCCAAATGTAGGTGAAGGAGGTGGGTCAGAGACAGGCTCAGGAGAGCCAAACAGAAATGCACTTTAGGTCTTCCAAAACAAAACAGGAATTCTGAATTTTGGTAAACTGTTCAAACATTTTTGCCATTTATGATTTTACTCATGACTTACATAAACTTATTTTAGCAATATAAACAATCTGTATCATAATACATAATAATGTAAATCTAGAAAACTGAAAACAAATAAAATGTCCAAAATATACAGAAATTCTGGCATAATCACTGGATGTAAAATCATGCAATCATTAAAATGAGCCTCATGAAGAATGGACCAGTTAGCTTTGCACAGAGAAATTAATGGAGCCTTGCCTTCAAGGAAAAAATATGTATGACAAAGTGTTAAGTGAAAAGAAAGCAGAATGAATCTTGCTATGATTACAACGAGACAAAATTATTTTGTACGTAGATTAAAAACAGGAATAGAAAACAATGACAACATTTGATGTATGAAGATGTTGAGGCTATGTGACTTTTTCAAACATTTCCTTCATCATGTTTAAAATATTTTTATGATTAAAACAATCAGGAAAATGTATATGCACTGGGAAGGACTTGTCACCTTCATAAACATGTTCTTTGGGTTCTAGGAAACCTTAGCAACAGTCTCACATAAATTCCTCAGTCCTTCCACTCTTTTCTGTAGCAGACACTGATTGAGGGCCTCATCTGAAACAGCCACTGTGTTAGGTGGGAGAGATGCAAAGATAAAAATGTGCTACCTGCACCCAGGAAGCTCATGGCCTTGTCACAGACAGTCACAAAAATAAGTGCGGTGATACCATGTGACAGGAACCATAAGAGTGGTCTAGTCAGGGACTCTGGAAGGACAGAGGAGGGACTAGCTGCCTGAATCCCAGGAGTCAGGGAGGGCTTCTCAGGAGAGGTGACTTTGAAGATGAGTCATGAAGGACTAACAGGAGTTTGCCAGTTGGGCTTGTGGGGAGGAGGGCTGGGACATTCTAGGTGAGTGAGGGCCCCAAGGCACACGTGCAGAATGTCAGTTTGGTGGCAGCGGGTGTAGGATGCAGGGCACACGTGGTAGAGGATGAGGCTGGAAAGTAGGACAGAGTTGGCTGATGGAAGGCCTGGTGGGTCATGCCAAGCAAGTGAGACTGACCCCTTTGGTGACACTTACCCGCTCCAACAGGAGTATTTTCCCACCAGCATCAGTGACCATTACCTGTAGCCGCCTCATGGCCTCTGAATCCTGGTCGGCCTTCACCTTGCAGGCTACAAGCAGCTGAGCAGTAGAAGCTGCAACCTGCTTGGCAGATGAGATGAGCTTTTCCTCACTGGCATGTCCCTGAACAGAGGCATTAGCCGCCTCACAGAGACTGCTGGTCGCAGCTGCCACCATTCGGGCCTGGGGACAGTCAACAGAGAAGTGACCCAAAGCCCAAAATCCCCTCAGGGGATCCAAAAAGCAAATGAGGAGGAAGGTGGAGGCAACTCACAGCAGAAATCAGCCCCTGTGACCACTGTCCATCATCTGCGGCATTGGCAGGGATTGAGCCCACCTAGAGAGCAGAAGTGAGAAATCTGCACTGAGAGCCGGCAGGCCTCAGGTGACCTGCAGCCCCTCATACCCCACCGTGCCCTGGAACTAGACACACAGCACCACTCGGTGACTCCCACCAGCAGCACATGCCAGGGAATGCAGCAAGCCTCGGCCATGCCAAGACTGCACGGCACATCCTGGCTGGTGTTCACCCGGGCCACACAGAGCAATGAGAAGTGATCACAACAGCCTTGTTCAGCTGCCAGGTACTGCATTTATGGGAAATGGCTGAGGAAGGATGGTTCAGGGCTGTCTTTACATGTTACTTCCTCTGCTGACCCTTCCCCATTTCAAATGAGGGAGCCACCCAGGCCTCCTCTTTCCAGGGCCAGCGGAAACTTAAATTCTCCTCATTACTGACCCTGAAAACCAGGCTACCAGCTGTTTAAAAAAAAAAAAAAAAAGGGAGGTTCATCTCCTTCCACACAATTGAACACCAGTTCTTGTCTTAGGAAATAAAGACCATTTTTTCAGGAGTGAGAACTAAAAGGCTAGAATTGAGATGAACATCCTGGCTGGTGTTCACCCGGGCCACACAGAGCAATGAGAAGTGATCACAACAGCCTTGTTCAGCTGCCAGGTACTGCATTTATGGGAAATGGCTGAGGAAGGATGGTTCAGGGCTGTCTTTACATGTTACTTCCTCTGCTGACCCTTCCCCATTTCAAATGAGGGAGCCACCCAGGCCTCCTCTTTCCAGGGCCAGCGGAAACTTAAATTCTCCCCATTACTGACCCTGAAAACCAGGCTACCAGCTGTTTAAAAAAAAAAAAAAAGGAGGTTCATCTCCTTCCGCACAATTGAACACCAGTTCTTGTCTTAGGAAATAAAGACCATTTTTTCAGGAGTGAGAACTAAAAGGCTAGAATTGAGATGAGTCTCTGTTTCTATTTAGAAATCACGGCAATAAGTGAAACATGTTTTGTCCAGATCTGGAGGGAGTAGCCTTGGGAGGAAAGGGAGGAAATACCTCACGCTGTGGGAGGTGCCTGGTGAGGTGACAGATGAGTATCTCAGTCTGCATATGAAATTGGGGATTGTCAGCAACTACAGCCCCTACATCAGGGCTTGCTGAAATGTCAGGTAAAACCCCAAGGTCCTGCACATTATCCTATACTTCACCCAAGTTCAGCTGAGCCTCCCTTACATTTTAAATGCTTGGACATATAAATTCCTTGGGGGACAGGGACTCTACCATATTCAAGTTAGATTCTCTAGTATCTAGCAATGTGTCTGGCACACAGTCAGCCCTTTATCCGTGTTGAAATAAACTTAAACTTTTAGGTAGGATGTTCTGATCACAATCCATTTGTGATCTTTACATGTTGACCGGTCAACAAGAACTTGATCACACCTGACAAGCTCAGCACTCTGCTGGATCTACAGGGGAGAAAGGAGGAACATAAAGTGACAGCTCGCAGGCCAGGTGGGGAGACATATGCATGTCAGTATTGACCAACATACCATATAATGGTTTAGAAACAGACGTTAAGGAATGTGGACCGGACCAAAACATGGCTAAGCCCACAAGAGACTTCTTGGAGGAAGAGGCACAGCCACTGGTCAGGCATAATTTCGTCTATACTACAAGTTCTTAGGTCAAGACACAATCATGTCCATCTCTTTGTACACTGACAGCAAGGGCCTTTTAATATCAAACAGAAATGACTGACAATAATCGTGACCAAATTTCCCAAACCCACAACCTAACAGGTTCCTGCAGTGCCTCTACGTTTGAGAAGCTCTGTCTGTAAGACACAGTTTGGATAGGATGGTTCCATGCTGTGTGGGAATAACAGGACACATGGAATATTTTAAATTAGAAGATCGTGCCATATCCAGAATTAGTCTAATGCACTATTAATCCTTTGAATCATTAAAAGACTATGCTTTTATGCTAATGCAGATGGAATGGGGGACTGGAGATGAAGCAGATTTAAGAAATCTCAGATTTAAAACCAGACTGGCCTTTTGACCAATAGGCTCAGTTAAGTGCTAACTGCAAAGCTGGACAGGATTCAGCTCAACAGTCCTAAAAAACAAATGGAGCCATTTGGAGTTGGAAAGTGGTATTATAAAGCCTCTGACTGTGGTGTTATAGAGCCATCCACCAGGAAAATATGACAGTTTACATGTTTAAGTAGCCTAACGTACAGTGGGAATATAAACGTCTTGTTCAGGCCCCAATTGCTTCCTAGAATGGGATGCTTTCCATAACAAGGAGCAGAGGAGAAGCCAAACCTTATATTCTGGCAGTCAAGTTTAAGCACATAGAATTCTCAGTCGGTCGGGGCAATGACAGGTGATTCAGGGGAGAAGGCACACCGCACGTTTCCTTGGTCAGGCCAAAGGTCTTCCCCACTTTTCCTCAGAGGCTCTGCCCCTGTGAGTGTCCCACGCTTGGCCAGCTGGGTTTACCCACCTTTCCTTGGGCCACCAGCTCCCTCTGGGCTGCTGAAGCCGATTTGACCAGGGCACTTGTGGCAGCAGCAATGGACTTAGCAGCTTCCAAGATCTGTTCTTCAAAATCCAGGGTCTCATCTGCTTGCTATAATCAAAAGAAAACAGCATCACGTGCAATTCACATCCATGCAGGGCTCTTTCCGCCAAACTACTTACTGCTTGGTCACCTGGCTCTTCATCTGCCTATTGCTTTTTGATGACAAACCACACCCAGGGCAGAAAGGCCTAAGCTGTCAGGACGCCTCTCCATCTGGTGCCCCCCTCCCCCCCTCTAAAAGGTAAAAGCTGTTAGCATTGACATTCCACACAAATGTTAAATCAGGACATTCTAAGACTATTTTTCCAGACCAGAATGTTTAATAGGACATGAATTCACTGTGAATAAAATACACTCCAATGGTTCTAGCAGCATCAATAACCAAAATCAAAATAATCAATAATCAGAGTCAAAACAGTGGGCTGTGGCACACTCTTCCAGAGCTTAAGGCTCACAAATGTGTTGAAAAAAGGAAAGATAGCTCCTAGTTCGGAAAAGTCTTATTTTTCTTGAGTGAAAACAAAAGCAAAATAGCATTTCCATTCTGTGGCTGAGCACAGAAAGTTATACACCAACCACAGATTGCCCAGTGGTGGAAAAGAAACCGAGGGGGAACTTGTTCAGTCACTGGACACCCGAGGCATGGCTCCACCTCGGGAAGAATGACGGACACCACTGTGTAGATGATGGCAGGCCGTTAGGGCTCTGGTCTAAATTTACCAGCACCATGTCCTCTGCTGCCAAAACAGCTTAGGAAGCTAAAGAGAAGCTTTGGGGACATGGGGTAAGTGTAAAGACCATTGTCCCAGGTTGGTTGGAATACAGTATCACAGTCTGGGGTGGTCAGACTAGATGACCTGCAAGCTCCCCTGCATTAACATTCTGACTCCAGGTCAACCTGCTTAAGCTGTCCTTAGGTCACAGAATGCTGAAGATGTGGCTGGTACATTTCAGGCATTAAGAGATGATCATCAGGCATAGGAATACCTTTTTTGTATGTGTGGTAAAATATATGTAACATTAAATTTTCCCTTTTAACCAATTTTAAATGTACAATTCAGTGGCATTAAACATATTCGTAATGTTGTTTAACAGCAATACATTTTTTAAAGTGCCTTCAGCCTTAGGGAGGTGAAGTACTGGGCCCAAGGTCATGTGGCAGTGTGAAGAATCAAACCTAAACCTCTCTGACTCCAAATGATGGCTTTTATGAGCCTAGGCCACCCCTTAGGGCATTAGTGAGGAATGACTTCATTCCAGAGGTTCAAAGTCAGCCTGCTAATAGTCTCACATAAAACATCAGATAGGACGGACACAGTTCTTTTCCAGATCCCTATTCTTAATGTCACATCTTGAACCATGGGAGATGCCAATCTTTTTTTTTTTTTTACAACCCATATTACCAAAATAAAATTTCAATGCACATCTAGTGGATCTGAAGAACAATGGCAGCATTTTAGAAGTTCTAAGACAGAACTTGTATGTTCTTTCTTATTTCTGACAAAGTCCTGCTCTAAGAGTATTCAGGACAGAAACGGCTTCAGTTCCATTGGATTCACTTTGGATTGGTGGAGTATAGAATTTGTTTACTGAAATACAAAAACGACTCATCACAAGAAACTCTGGCATAAAAGGTACTATTATACATAGGTCCAGAATAAATTACATTAGGCTCTGGTATGTACGTACGTGTGTGTGTGTGTGTGTGTGTGTGCGTGTGTGTGTATTTAATGACCCTGACTTATTAACAGAACGATCCTCACCGCAGCTGGGAGTCTGGAGGAGGAACCCTGGTGGAGAATGTGGAGCCACTGAGGTCAGGCTCTGCCACGGGGGGGTCACCCTCATCTCCTCATCAGAGAGGTGGGGGTGGGTGGTCTCTTAAAATCCTCTTTAGCTGAGACATTTCACTGACCTGCCCCAGGTCAGTCTGATCTGTCCCTCTGGCTCATGGAAGACTCACTCCTGACCCCAAACAAGTGGATCGTGTAAAGATCCACTAAGATTGACAAAATAATCTTTTAAAGATTATGACTAATCCTATGCATGTGGCTATTTATATTCCTTTATAACTACTGGCCTCAAGCAAAGGCAATGAACTTAAGAAAACACCTTCATTAAACAAGCTGAACAGACAGCCCTGGCTGCAGAATCACCTGTGGATCTGGTTAAAGGCACAGATGCTGATTCACAGTAGGCCTGGGGTGGGGCCCGGGAATCTGTTTCCAAAGGAGGTGGTTTATGGGACTACTCTGTGGGAAATGCTGGCCTAGGCTAAGGATAACAAACAACAGTTAACCGAATCCTACTGGCCTGGGATCTCCTCTGGGGCATGAATTATGTTTTAATCAATTTATGTTTCTCTAGCACAGAATCAGGCAGAAAAGCCCTTGTGATAAATGTTTGCTGAATGAATGTATCCATTCAACGTGAGTCCCAAGTTCCAGAGTTCAGCCAGAGGACAGTGTACATGGTACGAGAAGGAGGAATCCACGGAGTAAGCATCCGTAACATTAACCGTCCACCCTGAGCCACGGGGGATGGTTACACGTCTACAGTGCTGGCTCCCGCCCTACTTAAGGCCATGGGTTTTTAAGTGTACATGCTGCCTGTATCTCTCAAATGGCATCCACAGTTTGTGACATTTAATCATGCACATACAGATGTCAACGCAGCGGGATTTACCCAGAAGTGCTCTTACTTAACAGAGTAGTGCTGGGAAAAGAGCTAACAGATGCACAAAGTAAGAATCTGCTCTGCCTAATGACGGTGTGAGCTGCCACCTCTGAGTGCTGAAGCTGTCTTCGCATCCTTTGCTCAAGTGTTCCTTTCCCCAGTCCCCTCCACCCAGAAAGGCTACTGGCCAGGTCACTGCTCGCTCCTGGCAACTCTGCCTTTCCTGAACTGTCTAGCAGACTCCAGCTGAGGATGGATTTATCCTCACCTGGGCTTTTTCATAGCCTTGAGAAAGGTCAAAGCACCCTTTTGGGGGCCGGCCCGGTGGCGCACTGGATAGTGCGCCGCTTGGGAAGCGCGGCGGTGCTCTCGCCGAGGGTTCGGATCCCACATGCAGACCGGTTCCCGCTCACTGGCTGAGCGAGGCGCGGGAGCAACACCGAGGGTTGTGATCCCGTTGCCGGTCCCTGGTCCGGTACGGGGGCAACACTGAGGGTTCCGATCCGTTGCCAGACACGGAAAAAGACAAAAAAAAAAAAAAAAAGCACCCTTTTGTTGGTACTTTTCCTGCTTGCTGATCTTCTCCCCTTTTAGAAGGTTAGAGGCCTGGTGAGATCCTTCCTGGGAGAGGCTACACTTTGGGCTGGCTCCCTTCCTGCCTGCTTCCCACACTCGGGTGAGACCCCCTATTTTTACTCTGATAGGTCTAAACTTTCGGGAGCTAGAGGTCCCACTGGAATAGGAAAGGTGAGAGGAAAAACGGAAGGCCTTTCCTCATTTTTATTTTGGTTTTTGGCCTTTTAGGGACTCTGAGAACACAATCTTCGCAGCCATCCATTCATCTTCTAAACCTACTTTCCCTCCTACCTATCTTATGGGGTCGTGACAGTAAACAGTTATGTAAAGCACGACTGACTCACGGTAGATGCTCAGGAACTACTGGCAACTAGTTTCATTATTATTCCTACTACTACATATTTTTTTGTGTGGTTTTAAAAATTGTTTTTCAGGCTTTGAGCTAAACTAGTCTGTTTCTCTCTAAACCTGTTTCACACTCATAATTACAATAAAGATTCTACATAACATTTTGGGTTACAACCTAAAATAATAATAAATAAACCACCCAAATCAAAGATAAACGAAGTAATGCATGGTATGGATGGGCACTGCTTCCAGATTCTTCCTCAGCACCCGGGCAGGAACTGGACAATCTGGGATTCAGTCATTTGCTGTCTTTCGACCATGTGACTTCAGTGTCTTTGCCGCCCTTCTCCAGCAATTGGTGTATCAGTTTTCTGTTTATAATGTGAGGAGCAACTAAACCCTCCTGGTCCTTTAGCTTAGACACACAACTGCAAATTAAACTTTTCTTAGAAGGTGTTGATAAAATAAGTAAGAACTACTTTTTCTCTTCCATCTTCTTTCTTGGCCTCCTCTTCAGAGCGGCCTGCGTCTGTCCTGCAGTGTCTTTACTGACCTCCCTGACAGTTCTCGGCAAGTATGGGGCAGGGGAAGAGCATTTCCTTCCATGGTCCTTTTCCTTACGCGTTTCTGTGTGCATCACGTCCCTGCGACCCTTTCCCCCAATCATCCTGAAGGTGAAGGAGTTGTAGGCAAAAAGGTGGCCGAAGGGTCACTGCCCTGACTTTTACCACCCTCCCTGAAAACCTCCTTTGAGGGACTGCCTTGTTGGGAGATAAACCCCAAGGGTAGCTTTTATCTCACAACTGGCTCCATAAACCAAAGAACAACTCACAGTATCATCTCTCCATTTAGGGATCGTGCTGTCCTGTGTGTTACTGAAAGCCTTGTTATTAGATGCTTGCTATTAGAAACAAGGTCATAGCGCATTGTAAACTTATAACAAAAATTTTGGCTATAATTTATTCTTTGGCAAGTGTGAACATTTTGCATATAATTTAAATGTCCTGAGGGAAAAAAGAAGGCCAATACTTAGAATTCCTGCCACATAAGCGAGCATCTTCCTGCCAGTTGGACGCCTGATGGGAACAGGCAGCCATGTTTAAATTTTGGCTATAATTTATTCTTTGGCAAGTGTGAACATTTTGCATATAATTTAAATGTCCCGAGGGAAAAAAGAAGGCCAATACTTAGAATTCCCGCCACATAAGCAAGCATCTTCCTGCCAGTTGGATGCCTGATGGGAACAGGCAGCCATGTTCTCCTTTTTGGTAGCGGGTCTGGCTGCTTCCAGCTTGCTTCTGGTATTGAACTGAGAGGTGCCTAGGGGGAGGCCTGAGCCTCTGTCCAAAGACCCAAACTATGCAAGAGATAGATCAGCTTCACTTCTGGAGGGCCCATGGGTGGGTTGGCCTTAGGATCACCACCTTAACTAGTTCTAACAAAAGGTA